CCCCCTCCCCATGCCACCCCAGCACCAACTGCCCCTCTCCAACGTCCAGCTCCCCGCCCCCCGCGGCTGCCTGGGCTCCCCCGGGCAGGCCTCAGTGGGCCAGAGGGCGCGTGCTGCTGCCCCCCCGTTACAGCGGCCCGAACCGACCGCCCCCTTCTCATTGGAAGAACGCAGCACAGGCCCGGCCCATCGCGCTTTCCCATTGGGCCGATGGGAAGCCTCCTAACGGGGCGGGCAGACAAGCCTCGCTCGCAAAGGGTTCCGCCCACCAATGACGTCAGGCTACCAGCTGTATCGGTGAGTAACCCAGGGCAACGGAGTTTCGGAGCCAGTCAGAGCGAGGCCACAGCCACCGCCACGCCCTTCCGCTACGGTCCCGCCCAGTGTCCCGCCCCTTCGCGTTAGATCCTGCCCCATAGTCTCCCGCCTACTTACTACAGAGTCACGCCCCTCACATAACCCCCGAGCCCTGCGCTCCACAGACCCCGCCCACACACAAACCCTGCCCACTTGCCATAAAGCTCCGCCCATATACACAAAGCTCCGCCCACTCACTGAAAAGCCACGTTTCCCAACGAACATATAGCGCCGCCCCCACAAGCCCCCCCTTCCCTGCGCCAAGGGCCCCGACATTGTGCAGAGCCACACACAGTCCTGTCCATATTCGAGAGCCCCCCTGCCCCCCCACAAAGCCTCCCCACATCTGAGAGCCCCGCCTTCTCCCCCAGGTACACACAGTCCCGCCCACACACAAGAACCCCACCATCCCCAGCACACAGAGCTCAGCCCCTGAACCAGCTGGGGTCAGCGGGAGGTGGAGTTTAGCTCAGGCCCTGCCTGTGCGTACAGACCCCCAGAGGCCCACAGCAGGCTCAGAGCCCTGTCCAATGGGGGTCATGAGGGTGAGGGGTCAATTGGTGGGTACCTGGGTGCACGTGACAGGCACAGTGGCAATCCCTAGATAGGACAGACTGGCCAAGCTACATGAGACACAAAGGATCCGCTGCTTGTACCTACTGAATTTCCAGGAGGGCCCGTCCGCCTCAGGAGGCCCCTCACCCAGCCTAAGGGGAGGAGTCACTAGACCCAGGGTTCAAATAAAGTTGCGGGACAACAAATGACAAAGCAGGAACAGGAGTGAGGGTTATAGGGTCAAAAGCAGGGAGCCAGAGGGTGACACCAAGCAGAGAACCACAGACAGTGCCCACTGCTCCTTGAAAGCATCCAGGGAGCCAATGGAGGAGCTCTGCCAGGATACACAATCTGAGAGGAGCAGAAATAGGTCCCACAGTGGCAGAGCACCTCCCCATCCTACAACCTCCTGCTGGTATGGTGGATGGCCACCTTGGTCAGTGCCAGGAGGAGGTCTTGCGACTTCATGGGGCCATTGATATTGTCTGTGTAAATCAGGAAGTGTGTGGAAAAGTGCAATCAGAATCTAAGGAGAAGGTTCTGAAGGAGTCAGAAAAGGGGTTGTAGCCTGATGCACTCAAGATAGATGTGTGCCACGGTCTCCTCACACCACAGAAGGGGCAAGTGTCAGGGAATGGGGTGAACTGTGCCAAGTACACTCCCATAGAATATCAGGGTTGGAAGGGACCTCAGGAGGTCATCTAGTCCAACCCACTGCTCAAAGCCCCCAACAGATTTTTACCCCAGTTCCCTAAATGGGCCCCTCAAGAGTTTAACTCACAACCTTGGGTTTAGCAGGCTAATGCTCAAACCACTGAGCTATCCCTCCGCCCATCCTCATGGTTCTGTGAAGGAGCTGCCAACTAATATCCCCAGAGGGCCGTGGGATCAAGGTGGAGTACAGGCTGACCCACCAGGGTTCCTCACCTCCACAGATGGTAGTACATCCCGCCGCTTGGTGTCTGGGCAGGATACAAGGGTGAGGAATTGAAAGGTGTGGCGCATGAGCATGTACAGCTGTTTCCTAGGCACAGTTTGAAAATGGACTGGCTGCATGTCACGCAGCCAGATCAGGTTATGTAGAGGGGGCAGCCGGGGCTTGTGGGGCCCACTTACAAGGTCCGGAGGGCCAGGGCTGAGGGGCGGGCAGGGAGCACCCTCCTGCAGGACCCGCTCAAGGAAGGCCCAAGAGGCTGGTGATAAAGCTGCTCTCACCTCCTGGAATATGTGCTGTGGGGTGCGAGGGGTGGAGAACTATGTTCTGGTCAACCCCCTGACCCCCACCCCGGGTTCCACCCAGTCCCCCCGGTTGTAGTCCAGGAGGTCTCCAATCCTGGTGGTACCTGCCAGGACCAACCTCTGGCACACCAGCGTCAAATCAATTGTTTGCCTTTTTCCTGTACCCATGAGGCTAGCTCAGCGCCCTTAGCCGAAAGGCCTGGCCATGCAGCAGGTGGCTGCATTTCACTGCAGCTGAACGAGCGTAGTTTGTAATGTGCCGTAGCATCTTCTGGGATGAAAGACCCTCTATACTGGGACCTGCCAATGAAAGTGCTCTGTAAGAGCTCGATGTTATTATTACACAGATGCTCATTATAAATTATTATTATAAGAATAATCGCTTGTGATATTTTTTGTTGTCTGAAATGTAAAATTAAATGTTTTCTCTCTCAGAATCTTAGAACTAGAGACTGAAAAGTCCTTTAGGCAGACAGAGATCCATGCCTCCAGGGACCAGGGCAGGATCGATTTCTGGAGCATATTCCTCATGACACTGTCCAACATCCGAAGAAGTGGGCTGTAGTCCATGAAAGCTTATGCTCTAATAAATTTGTTAGTCTCTAAGGTGCCACAAGTACTCCTGTTCTTTTTGCGGATACAGACTAACACGGCTGCTACTTTGAAACCTGTCCAACCTAGTTTTAAATGGCCCAAACAATGGAGTTTCCACCACTTCCGTCCAGCAGACGATTCCACCTAGTGCACTGCAGTGTTAAGAAGGTTTCTTGATATTCAACATAAATTTTCCCTTCGTCTCTGTTACTGGTTCTACCCCTCAGAGCCCCCTACACAATATCTGCTCCCTCCACTTTGAATTGCTGAGGGAATGATCCTACATTTGTTTAACAGCATGTGGAATTTGTAAGCTGTCTGTTTATACCTCAGCTCAGAGTACTGCCCAGCATTTGTGTCTGTATTAGAGATCAGCCCAAAGGAAACACCCCTGAACTTCGGGCATGTTTGAAACCTGGCCTCAGAGCCACATTGTGTAAACAACCCCATATTTTTATAATGGGCTGAACTAAACCCCCAGACCTGAATGCCCTGGGGTGGTGGAACCCAGATCTGGATTCAAATCGTGCAGCTTCGATGCCTCTCTCATCTGGGCTTGTATTTTTGTAGGGTCACACGACTGATTACGTAATGCTTCTAGGGCAGGACAATATGTGGCTAAATGCATTTTTCAGTTCAGACGGAGCTCCTGGGAAGTTTTGATCTCATTATTTTGGCTGCATAAATGAGAAGTGTCTGTGAGGCCTGGTCTACATTAGAAAATTAAAACAGCTTAACTATCACACAGGGGTATGAAAAATCCACCCCTCCTGAGCAGCATAGTTAAGCAGACCTAACCCCAGCATAGGCAGCGCTAGGTCAATGGAAGAATTCTTCCGTCCACTTACTACCTTCCCGGGATGTGGACTGCCTATGCTGATGGGAGAACACCTCCTGTCGGGGTAGACAGTGTCTACACCAAAGTGCTTGCTACAGCGGTGCAGCTCTTTTGCTGTAGCATTTAAAGTGTAGATAAGCCCTGAGTAACATAACCCCAAATAAAATAAAGTATCCCACCTGCCTTATCGCTCTAATATCCTGGGACCAACACGACTAAACACCACTGCATGTAACCCCAAATACTAAGATATTCTGGTCAGTCTGGCTTCTTGTGGCATCCAAATGCAGCCATTCAGAAATCATGAGCATTCAAAAATCATTGGTCAGATCCTCAAAATGAAGAGATTGGCTTAAAAATTAATACATTTGGGGTCTGTTTATTTGCTTTCTGGTTCTGGAGCCAATAGGTCACACTGGGTCAAGTTTTCAAGCTTTTCTCTGCAACCAGAAGAGCTGGAAACGTACTTGTCTTTCAGATGGAAGCTGAGAGTCTCAGGTAGTCATGGAGTTGAGACTTTAAGACAAACATTGCAAGAGTTGCAATGCTGGGGAGGCCTGATTTTAGTCTCAAAAACTCCATTGCCTTCAATGGGGTTTCTACTCATTTTCACCAGTGTGCATGACAGTGTGCATGGTTTATCTTTGGGGATTGTGGGGGAGGTACATTTATTT